GTTATTGCCCGTCGGGAGCCTTGTCGGGGGCACGGATGGAGGAGGGGGCTGATGAAAGGCTTCCTTTCACCTCTGTATTCCTTGCAGCGTCGTGGCGTTGTCCCTGTGGGGCCAGAGGCTCCCCTGCACTGGGCAGCCCCACGAACTGTTTTCCCGTTCCTCCATGCTCTGCACTTGCTTCAGGCCAAAATCCTTCGAGGATGGATCTCTCCTTTCGTGACTGTTTGTGCCAGGCAGGTTTAACCTATTGGCCTTTCTTTAAAACCCCAGGTAATTCCCAAAGCCTTTGATTGACACAGCAAATGTTTAGGCTGAAGTGTTGAACTGGAAAGTTGGGAGCACACAAAACCCCTTCTTGCAGCTTTGAAACAAAACGTCTTCTCTTTTAACTAAAACTAAACCATGATATTGTTCCTTCACAGACCCAGCTCCTGCTCCCCAGCCACAAAATCTTTCACGTCTTTGACCTTCCACCAAGATTTTGTTAGCTGAACAGCTTTCTTTTCATGCCCTAAAATTTGGAAAAATAGAAACAAACACATATATATGTATATGTGTTTATATATATGTAAAATCTTGTTTCCTGCTTGAAACTTTGGGCCAGTGTCTTGCTGGCCCAGGTTTTTAAATTTGGGTTTCACAGTTGCGTGAGTTAGCACTTAAAAATAATAATCTGAGTGAGGCACCCAAAGCTCAGCTCTCGTGTGAGCCGTCCAGGGTCCGCAGACACATGCCTAGGGCTCGAATTAAGTTAAAGGCCCTGATATATTAGGGACATCATTTGAAGTCCATTTAGGTAAATCTGCAGAGAATTTCAGCCTGGGGGTTTTAATTAAAGGATTTTTTCCCCCCCTTTCTAGGCTGAGCCCATATGAGTTGATAATCTTTTTCTCCTCAGCTTCTTAAAACCTGTGGTGTTTCCTAAAATAGACACCTCTGCTAGTGATGCTGTGGGAGAGAACCAAATCTCCAATTAAAAAAACAGGAAGAAAAATCAATTGGAGAGCTTCTCCGAAATCGGCATGAAAATCACCCTGATGTTTCTGCACAAAGCCCTGTCCCGAAGGACACTCTCAGGAGAAAAATGTAAAGATTACTTCTTTCTTCTGGGTTTTGTTTTGTTTTTTAAGCAGTACACCTCATGGTTGGGCACGCAGGGTTATCAGATAATAGTTTTCTACAAACACCAACTCCAGGGGCTGAAGTTTTCCCGGGTACGTGTCTGCCTCTGGCTCGACTTTGCGGAGAAGTTTCAGCTAAAACAGCTCAGCCCTTCCCGACAGCGAGGCTAGAGCTCGAGTTTTTGACAAATATAGAAACAAGCTAGTGATGCCCTCGGTGGCTCCAGAGACTGTTTTCTCATTGCACTAAATCCTGCACTGGCAGTGAAAAGCAAATTGCACTTTTTTTCCCCCCTCTGAACTATTTCGCTTTGGCAGACTGTTATTTGTCACATCTGGGTGACGAGCACCTTCGAGGAAGGTCTAAAATACAAACAAAGTCTGGAAAGAAGTGAGTATCTCAGTAACGCATCTATTAATACACGTAGAGGTTTATAAAGGTCTCGTCTTTTTAATGTGAACCCCAGATACTGGGATCTGAGACCTTTTTGGCAGCTGCGAGGGGGAGAACAGCCTGGCCTCCCAGGAAACATTTCCAAGGTGTTTCCTGAAGATCTCGTTGTGGAAGCTCAGCCAAGCCCAGCTCACAAATGGGCTGCACCGGTGCCTCCCGCCAGCCCGGGAGGTGACGTTGCAAGAGGAACAGGGTTTTTGGCAAGCCTTTAGGAACCCCTGGCCAGGGCAGGGCGCTGGTGGGATGGGATACAGGGTGCAAGCACAGCTGCTGAGGATGGGTGCTTGCACCACGTGCTGCGGGGGATGCACGCTTTGGCTGAGGGATGTTGGCAGGAGGAGATGCCCTGTCTGAAGGTGCCGTTAGCTCCATGGAAGCAGGAGCTGGTTATGGGGCAGGGCCCTGGATCTCAGCAGCTTTCACTGCTGCCTTTCACTGAGATGCACAGGGAACTGGGTGCAAGCTGGGAGAGGCAGGGACATGGTGCAGGCAGGAGTTTTAGTGACTCTGATTAGGGTCCTCTTGCTGCCAGCGCAGCTTAGGAGCTTGCTGGGAGACATGGAGCTTGCTGGGAGACATGAGGCTTGGGAACCGGGCCCCGAGTGAGGTAGATCCTCCCTTGGCACCTCCTGAGTCCCTCCTGTGTAGGGAGGATTTTCCGTTCCTGCAGCAGCTGCCCCATTTGCTTTGATCCATATGGCTTCCAATGTTGGGTTTTTTTTCCTCCTCCATCACTACAACTGGCAGACATGAATTTGCTGCTTGTGTACTTCTCCTCATGTGCCCATCGGTGACATCCCTGCGGGCTGGGGGCAGTGATGCAGTCCCCAGGACCGGCTGCGCAGGCTGGGCACATCTGCCATGCCCATGGGCTGGTGTGGTTGTGCCTCTTGTGCTGTGCTGGCCGACGACTGGACTTTCCCGCTGTGTGTTGTTGCTGTGGGTTTCCCTTCATTGTCCTCCAGTGGTTTTTCTTGTGAACGGACAGCCATGTTAATGGAAATCCCTCTGGGTGTTTTTCTGTAATAAACTGTGTTGGTCCCAGCCTGGCTCTCTGTTGCCATTTTCACAACGAATATTTTGGCTCCCAGCAAGAGAGGCTAGGGTCCCTGCTTGGCACCTCCTGGGTTTTATGGTGAAGGGGTAGGGGTGACAAGAAGGAAAAGGGCCTTTTGGGATTTAAGGGAATTCATAAAATGTCATAAAAGCAGCTACCTGGGAACTGGAGACCTCTGGGAGAGGTGGGATTCCAGAGTTGAGAGATGTGCTGTGATACAGCTACCTCCCTTTGGTTCGTGAACAGACTTTTATTGTAACCCAGACTCGTGATGAAGTCCTGGATAAAAATACAACTTGGCAGAAGAATTTTGTCAACTTGATCTTCTACCAGCCAACAGGTGGGAGGCAGCAAAAGCTTTTTAGAGGAGATTTATTGCTGCTGAAGTACCGGTTTTATCCGAATAGCGACACTGCAGTTCTGGTGTTAGCTCCTCCCCACCAATAAGGAGAACAGATGGGTTAAGGGGAAGCAACAAATTCTCCCATCGGTCACCAAATATAGCCAAGGAATGTCCATAGGCCCCAGGGCAGCATCTCTGCTATGGGTGTTCATTTTAAGGGATGGACGGCCCTCAGCAGAGAGTGTTCTTGTGCAGCCTTGCTGGCTGGAATGCCTTTCCCTGCACCCGTCCCCAATCCTGCATGTCCTTCCACCGGATGCCTGGAGGAAAAAATCAAATTCCAGCACTGATAAGGCCCATGTTGCACCAGTGAAAGTCCAGGTGGGCCCTGAGAGGTCAGGATGTCCATGCTAAAGCCAAGAGCCTCTGCTGTTGATGCGAAGACCATCCAAAGCTCTTGACTTGCTCTTGGGGACCAGTGTGGACACTGGGGCCAAGAAGCCAACAGGTCATGGAGAGGCATGGACCGAGGTTGTGCAGGGAGGGAAAGGGAAGGTTTGTGCAGTTGGGTCTGTGATGTCTTGTCCTTGGTTTGCTGCAAGCCCAAGTTTTTGTTTCTGTTGCCCTGTTTTCTGAGCTTTTTCCTTCATCAGGCATCGAAGGGCTTTGCAATGAGTGTGCTTTAAAATAAAGAAGACGGAGGAGGAGAAAGCGGAGGCAGAGCTGATGGAGAATTATGCTGCCACTCAGCTATTGTCAGCGCAGATGTTCACAAGGTAATCATGGCCTTTGAATAGCAAGAACAGCTTTTCATGACAAACCCAGAATTTATCCCCAAGAACTTGAGGGGCCTCTTGGTGAGGGTGTGACACCCCTGATGACCAGCTGCATTGCAGGGAAGTCAGGCAGAGGGTGGACTCTGCTCTCCTGGCCCTCACGTACATAGAGTAAGTCATGACACTTTCCTGCCTCAGCTTCCCCATCACCATAACAGAGATCAGAATGATCCAGAGGTAGCATCAGGTCTGGAGGGTGACTCCAGCTCCTTGCAGAAGACAAGCAGAAATCCAGGAGTGCTCTTTAGTGCAGTGAAAGCCCATATGTCTGTGGTGGTGCCTGCATGCCCAGCAGCAGGTCCCAGCAAGCAAGGGCCATGCAGACACAGGGCTGTGTTGACAACCCCATGGTGTTGGCCATGAGGGGTCCCAGGCTGTGCTGGTGGGGACTCCATCTTGTCCCTGCAGCCCTTTTTGCTTAACATCCTTTCTGGAGTGCAGAATAGCAGCCAACAAACGTGAGCAGGGGACTGCAGCCATCCCAGGAGGCTAAAATATCAGGGCAGGGGACCTGGTGACAGGGTGACAGAAACACTCGGAGTTGGAAGAATAGATAAGAGGACCTGGCGGCAAGAGAACAAGCAAAGGGCACTTGCTATCAGCGCTAGCGGGGCTGTGCCAGCATTTGGACAGCCTGACCATCTTGTTGCTTCGACACCGCTATTTATAGCAGTGTTCGCTGATGCCTCTGTCACCGGAGCCTAAAATGGTTCCCCTGTGTGCACCCGGGGCGGCTGGGCTCAGCCGTGCCGCGCTGGCGAGGCCACCAACGAAGCAGTGACTCAACGGAGCGTGCGTGAAGCTGCTCATCGCCCCGCTGACAGAGGAAGCATCTCCCTCTGCCAAGAGGCAGTTCCACACTGGGCCAACTCCTTCGAAGATGCACCAGACGGTTTCTGTTGAAGGCCTGGCCCCTCACCAGGAGGAGTCAGTGGGGTAGACCCACCTTCCACCCTGCTTCTTCCTTTTTTCCTCCAGAACTGGGGCTTGTCCGGCTCCGTCTGGGAGGCAGCAGTTTCCATGTTGGTCCTTAAGGTAGCTGTGGGGATAGCTCTGTGCCTTACTCACACAGGTGGAAATAACCCTTTGGTTA